AAAAAGTTTTGAGATCAACTCCTCTTTGGAATGACTATGTAAATTAGGAATTATTCTATGTTGCCAAATCCTGCAATTGGGACAATTGTTTTGGCATCCATGAACTTCTGCTAGTCATTTAACCATCTGTTTGTTGAACATGGCCAGCGCAACTTTAGGTGTCAGTCTGTCACATGGATGCATGTGAGTGGGTTTTGACATAAAAGTTTTTGTACTTAAGTGTTAATGATGCAGATTACTCGTCTCTAATTTTGCAGGAATCTCGTCGCCGGTTTGATAAAGCTGCATCCACTTATGACCAGGTAATGGAGATGTCTGAATTAAAACAGGTGGAAAACTGCCTTTTAAATGCTTAGAAGATTTCATATACAAAATCCTATGCTGGCTCGATGGGAAGATAACACTTCCACTTCACTTTGTTATTAATTTCATTCTTGAGTTGCTAAACTGCCAGACACGTGAAAGGTTTGCTTCTCTGAAGAAGAATGCACGGGATGAAGTTGTTGCTGAAATAGAAGAAGTAAGCCCTTTCTCTGAAAAAGGTTCTCTTTGTGGATTGTTCATCCTCATGTCTCTCTCTTTCTCTCTAACTTGATAATGTATAACCCAATGACAATTAATACATGTTGCTAAAGTTACCAACCAAAGGTGCTTGGCAGCCTGATCACTGTTTGTCCAAATAAAATTGTGTCCCAGAGAATCTCCAAACTTCGTTGGCAATAGGTCTTTTTCTANGTGATAGAGGACATTGACTGGGAAGAGGTAGTATCACATCAGGATGCTGTCATTTTTATTATTTTGGATGTGGCAGACTACTGGTCCTCTTATGCTGCAATTTGATTCTTGTTCCTTACTTCTTTCTTGAGAACTCTTTCATTGTTTTCTGTTTTCTGATTGCTGACGAGCTCAAAACACACATTTAAATTGTGCTCGCTAATAAAAGATAATATAGTATAATATCGTATCCACAGGGATTGGATTTAAACAGTATTCTCGTAGTTTCTAGTTTGATTGCTATCGAGGAGGATCGACAATTGAGATTTATATGACTAAGAAGTGAAATTAACTAAGAATCTAAGGCTATTGACTAATGACTATCGAGGCAAGGAGTAAGCAACTAAGGTTGTCAGTGGGAGAGGATAGGGTTTTGACAGGATAGGTGCAAGATAATTGTTCGGGATCTAACTCTAGATAATTCACTTATAATATTCAAGTGAGTCTCTCGAATTTACTCTATTATTATTTCAAACGTTCAGCAAAAACTCCTCTCTCGATTAAGTCTTAACCTCACGAGATGAACCAATTTAAGCACTGTGAAAATGTGCAAGAATGCGTAGTGGATCGGTCTTTAGGAAAACCTCTTTCGATTATTTTCCTAACTAGGTTTAATCAATGATTTAACTAGGCTCTTTCGATTACTTAGAAGAATCTATGAACTCAACCAACAATATAATGCAAAGATATCACAAGTTATGCCTCTCTCGATTACATGAACTAGTAAATATTGATGCAATAATTAAATCTTCTAAAACGATTCAAATACATAAAAATAGAGTTATAATCCACAAACAATCATCAATACACCAAATCCATCAAAGCATAAAAGGAACTACCCCATAGACATGGCGAAGTTCTTCACAAATCTATATTATTATAAAAGCATGAATACAATGTCGGTTTACAAAAATAACCTTATAATATTAAGCATAATAACTCATAATAAAAGGACATAATCGGAATTCTAGATATTAGCCTTATAATCCTATTAGTTTTAGAACATAATACTACACGTTAGGAATCCTACATGATTACCTTTAGGAATCCTATTAGTATAATTACTTTTCGGTTGTCTAATTCATATAAAATTGAACAAGTAAATATATTTATTCATGTAATCCTATTACTTCTAGGATATACTTCTTAAAAATTCTTATTACTAATTTAATTTGAAAACGTATTATAATGTCCTATTACTAATTTAATTTAAGAATGTATTATATTGTCCAAATCCATTTAGAAAAAGGAGAGCCTATATTATTATAAAATTATAAATACAATATTAATATACCAGAATTGCCCACAAATATTAAACGGGAGAACTCATACGGAAAGGGCATAACCGCAATAACTTATTTTTTGGACTACAATACCTTATATGCTAATTTTTAATATTTAATACTTTAAAATTAATAAAATTTGTCTATTAAATTCTTATTAAAATATGTGGGAAGGTTTAATAAAATCAATTTCATCAGAATATTCCGTATTGGCAATACGTTACCACTCCATAATGTCCAATACCAAAAAAAATAAATAATATTAAATGGACTGCATAAAGAGTTGACATTGAGAAAAAAAGATACGCCCATGATAATATATTTTTATATTATATTTGAACTATTTTCCTACTCAAATAATATTTTTTTATCAACTTTTCGTGTAATATTTAAAAATACCCAATTATTAAACTACAACTAAGAAAATATTTAAGAATATAAATGTGTGAGAAAGAGAGAAAATAATGGTTGGTAAGACTCAATACCACTAATTATTCTACAGACATAAAGATCTAAACGTGAAATGTCATATCAATCTTTTACTTAAAATTTATGGTGGATAAAATTATAATTAAGACTAAATATACAAAACAAGAGATGAACTAATATTAAGATCTAAATCAACATAGAAGAAATTATTTTTTATGTTAAAATTAAATAATTAAATCTTTTAATTAATTATTTAGCAAGAGAATCCAATTCAATTATTTTTTTAAATTCATCACATGAATAAAATTCTTATTCAAGCAAAAAAAATCTTAGGGTACATAAATTTATTCCTTAAAAAGAGCGTTAGAACATAAAGTAAAAAAGGTTAATATATTATTAAGAATCAAAATGTTATACAAGTGTCTGAGGAAGTACAATCAAAGCTAAATATTAAACAAGAATAAGCTTTCAATACTATATTATAAAGAGTCGACTTTGCTATAACAGGATTATTCTTTGTAGATGCATCCGGCGGAATCGAAATAATATTTCTATGTCATGCATTACTTGCAAATATCATATCAAGAGGCATGGCGCTGTTAGCAATAATAGCAAGTGGTGTACCAACAATGATTTTATTGTGAGGCCACCCACTTTAGATTTGATATACCTCTTCAAGTAACTTAAATAACCATCACAAATATATCAAAGCAGAGCAATGGTGCTAAATTTATAAGAAAAGCAAAATTGATAATATGGGATGAAGCACTTATGGCTAAGTGGCAAACGGAGTTCTAGAGATATATTGGATATTAATGAACCGTTTGGTGAAAAATTAATAGTTTGGGAGGTAATTTGTGTCAAGTACTACCAGTAGTTCCAAAATCGACAAAAGCAGAGACTGTAAAAGGCAGCTTGCCAAAGTTATACTTCTGGCCTCAAATGAAAAAGATTCAACTGACAAGAAATATAAAGTAAGAACAGATCCAGTATTCAGTGTTTTCTTGCTTTGTGTCAGAAACGAATAAGAGCATCCAATAAAAGATGATTTGGTTATTCCTGAACACTTGGTTATCAATCCCAATGGTAATAGTAGTGCATTTAATAAGAGAAATATTTCTATCATTAGATTAAACCGTAATTTGTGCAAATCGCATGATAGAATTAAAAAGACATTTTAGCTAGCAGAAATGAATATGTTGATCAACTAAATAAAAGGTTGTTTGCAAAATTTTATAGTAAGAACAAAATGTTTTCCTGTTTTTGACTTAGCAGAAAATGATACCAATAATTACTACCAAGAAGAATATTTAAATACTTTAATACCAAACAACCTTCTACCATACATGTTTGTTGTCAAGTTTATTATTTCTTACGTATGTTAGTGTCACAGTATATATAATAGACTAAGTTGATCTTCCATTGTATATAGATTGATTTTGAAGAAAAATATGCCTGTCATGCTACTGAAAACTTAAATACGCCAAATAGCTTATGTAATATCACACAGATGGTATATAGAAGTTTTGACAATAACGTCATACATACAAAAATTATGATACTGGTCAATGTGCTTCTAAGTATATTCTTATCCCTGAATTCAACTTTCGTCTTCCGAAACTAAGGAATTTCCTTTTAAATTTGTGTGAAAATATTTTTTAGTATGTTTATGTTTTGCAAATATAATAAACAAAGCACAAGGACAAACATCATAAATATTGGACTATATTTACCGCAATATATTTTCTTGTACGAACAACTGTATGTTGCACTTTCAAGAGGGATATCAAGATCGACAACAAGAGTTTTGGTTAAGGCAGAGCAATCAAAGCATTAGGAGGAAACATACTCAAAAAAATATTGTCCACAAAGAAGTGTTCTTTAAGATACCATCACATTAAATATTTTTAAACTATAATACATAATTATTTAATTAACATGACAAAATTGATCATTTGTTTAAATTTTGATGATGTCCTTTTATTTTAAATTCATGTATTATTCTAATGTAATAATATTTTTCGGCATTTGGATGGTTGTTGTATAATAATACATAAAATTTCTCTTATTAATTAAATTTTATTGCTTTCATATAAATAAATATTTAAATCATCACGTGTCATTATTAACGTGCAACGCACGTTCATAGATACTAGTATAACTAAAGTATAGGAAAACATAAATTCAATCCAAACTAGGATCTTAAGTGAAGAAGGAATGATGAAATCCTTTTTCTTGTGTTCTTCCCAAGCCTCCTTAGGTCGAAAATGTGTCCAAAATCCCGAAAATGGTGTTTTTTGGTGTATTTAAGCCTTCCCAAAATAAATCCGGACGAAACTACCCTTTTTAATCTGAAATAGGAAAACACTAGCAATTTTGTACTACCGCGCCGCGCCATGCGGCGCGCTTGTGGAAAATTGTAGAACACTTTGCAAAATACAATCTGGGCATATTTTGCACTGTCGCGCCGTGAATTTTTACATAGTAAATTCGTTTCTTCATTTTTTTACATCCGGACTTGGTTCTCGACCCCCTGAACGTGATCCCGGCTTAATTACTTGGGCTTCTACTCAGACTTTAAAGCTCCAACTTGTTCGATTTAGCTCCAAATTACCTTAATAGCTCGAAATCGTTTCCTACGAGGCACAAAACACATAATAAGTGTAAATCACTATCGTTTAAGCTCAAACACGTAAAATTTAGTAATTAGAGTGCAATCTTATGGCTAAAACATGGGTTTCTAGCCTACCATCAACACCCCACACTTAAACCATTGCTCGTCCTCGAGCAATCAAACTGCACTTCGCATAGAGACGACTTTCTTATCAGACAACTTCCCTAACGCATCATGCCAAGAATATTTAAAATAGACTAAGCACTATATCATGACATCCTAGCCTCAAAACTCGACTCATAAGCACCATGTAATTTTCACAACCTGCTCACTTACTCTAACTCAGAGGTCAAAGACTTTACCTTACCTTCGTAAATTATGTGCCGTCACACAAACAATAAAGAGTAGTTCCACACATAATAAAATTACACAATAAAATTCAAGAACAAATAGGAACTCATGATAGAAAAGATTAACTCTCTCAGAAATGAAATTCATGTGCCACAAAGAATGTACCATAAGCTTGC